GAACAATATTATTGTTAAATGGAATAACAAAGTAAATTACCAAATAACTACCAAATTTCACGAAAGTAATGAAAGGGAAAGATAGAAATATCAAAAATAAAGAAAAAGAAATGCGAATAATACAAAAGTGTATAACAAAAGAATAGTAGATTGCACAATGAAAGGTTAAGTTCTTCCGATTTAACCTATTGCATCGTTTTAATAGTTCCTGAATATCAAATTTTGATTCTGTGATAAGTACAGGTTTCCCTGAATCAATCAATACAATGCGGTTTGTAGATAGAATGTTAGACTTTCGTTCGAAGTTCCTTGATCGAAGATAATTTGTCTACGTGCTAGATTCCGCGTTCGACCTTCGATTTGATAACGTTAGGATAACGTTCCGATGCGAATGCATTTATCACCGCAGTCGAAGTGATTAAACCGAGTCGAGTAAAATTTCATACATGCGAAAAATGGTCTATGTAAACAAAGAGGTGAATACGGAAGAATTAAGAAAAAGAAACTCTGAATTATCCATAAAAATAACACCTACAACATGTGAAAATATTTGTTCAACAATTTAAATAAAAGTATACTATTTTATATACTCCATTCTGTGAACTGCAATATAAAATTACGTGTCAGATTACTAAAATATCATTATAATGATAAAAATCGAACGATATGTCATTTTTCAGACGAACATCGAGGTATCAATGCTCGACAACAGATTCACTCGTAACTTCATAGACATGTAAGTTCAAACGATGAAATAACTTGTCTCCTCAATTTAACGGATTTACTTGGAACACGAAACGTCTATATGCAGCACGTTACAACAGAAAGAAGTTGGTGCGCACGATCGAAGAAAATCCCCAGGCCCAAGAATCTCGCGTTGAGGAGCACTGATTTGCAGTGTATATCGTGTATTACCACGTTAGTGGGGATAGAGCAGAAGGGTGTAAGAGGGGAACACGGGAGGGGGCTCAAGGCCGGTCACGCTGTCAAGCCAGAAAGCCTGCGCGCCGAAATATCAACATGACTGTCCAACTCGGTTAGCCTCGCTTGCTGCTTCGATTACTTCGCCACGTTCGTAGACATGCATCTACATATATCGCGTTTCCTTGTCGCCTTTCGAGACAGAAGCCGCATAATCATGAAAAATTCGTGTTAATTTTTTTCTCGAGCCAGACGACTTAAATAGTGATACGGCTAGGGAGGGGTGAAAAAGCGAGGGGGTTTAAATTGTGAAGCACAGACAGAAAAGGGAGGGAGGATCGACTTTTGGACAGGTGGTACAAGTACGGAGGCTGACAGCTGATAGTTCGTGACTCTTGTATCGAGGGAAGTTACGAAACTCGTTACCACGAGAAAGGCTACGACACGGTTTTGCAGGAACGAAGCGGAATACATCGGTGTGTGCGAGCTTACGTGTGCGAGTGTCTCCGCGGCTAGCGGGCGAAAAAGAGAAAGAGGAAGAAAGACGTAGAGAAACAAAAGGGAGAGATGAAGAGAGTCGAGTGATCAGCGATCGATCGAAATTCGCTGGTCGATCCGGTATTAGAGAGTATCGAGAGTCCGTGTGGTAGCTTGATAAAATTAAAACGATTTTCCGTCGATGGAAATATCATGTTCATAACAGAAAGAAAAAAACTGACGTAAAAAGAAAACGAAGGAAGGAGACGAGAGGAGAAGAGAAGGGTGGGAGGGGTAGAGCAAAAGAGAAGAGAGAAAGAGAACGATAAAAGGAAAGGGGATAGCGAAGAGGAGAAGGAGGAGGGAGTCGAGGGGTCATCGGGAAACATAACCTCCGTACGCGCAACGTCCGAGTAGCCGACCAAGTGATTTTCGACTTTACCTTTACTTCCTATACACTTCCGTGTATCGTCTTTCTTACCTTATGTTCCGTGTAACACGACGACAACCACAACGAGGATTGTCCGAAGCTTTCGCGTTGAAAGGCAGCGTCTGGGACGGATACGACACTCCTGACAGTTTCCGTAATGATGTACGACCCGTTGGTAGAGTTTTTTTTGGCTAGCACACGAGGACAGACAAGGCGATAGATCACACAACACTACCGACACTTTCGATACGCGACACTACGGTAAACGTGCAATCGGGCGTCTTCGGACGAAGTAACAGGGAATCGAAAGAGCTTGGCACACCTTCGCGTTACGTTACAACAAGTTACAACGAGCCACGGGCAGCTACAGGCACGGGCTACCTCGGACTCTCCGTCTCCGTCTCCGCTGTTGACTGGTGGCTACCTCACACCATAAGCTCGTCTCGTACCTGTGTCTCTCTTTCTCTTTCTTTCTCTTTCTACGCTCATACTCGGAGCCAGTACCGTTAGTACAGTGCACCGCCACCAGATGGACGATGTTGCCGTACGTCGATGTACATAATATAGCAACGTTCGACGAAATTGATTTGAAACGATACTCCAAAAACCCACATGAAATAGTAGAAATTCAACGAATTATTTCGTTTAAATTTCGCGAACTGTTTTACCGGCTGAATTCGTTGAAATGAAGCGATGAACTAATGAATGAAATAAGATTATTCATTTAGACGCATAATGTATAGTTTGCAAGTAAGCATTTTCCTTTAAGTAACGATAAAATTAGATTTTTTCATATAATATCTGAACATTCAAAATTAATCTATATTATAATTGTTGGCATACTAGAGAAAAATAAATAAGAAAATACATTAAACTTACGAACTGAATTGTACGAAAACATAAACAGAATTAACTATTCAATGTTAAATAAAAGATTGTATTAATTAAGTATTAGCAAGAATTAATAAGATTGAAATAGTAATTATTATTAAAATAATTTAAATGATAAATAGTGCATCATAGATTAAATTTTACTTTTATTACTTTTTTATATAAGTTATTTCTGATAGGCATATGTATAGTAATTATTCACTAAAAGTTAATAATTTAATATATTTCTTTGCATGTTTCCAACATTATAGTCACTCATAATTTTTCAATTCTTGCGTATTCAATACGTACACTTATTACCCACCATTGCAAGAGTCATTAAACGTCCACTAGAGTTCCCGAAACGCGGCAGAAATCGAATTTTTGTTGATTTTGCAGAAAATAAAGAAAAAGGAAAAATAAATAATGTGACTATTATAACACTTGGTTGATGGTGGCATATGTCAGGTAAACGTAAATGATCGTGGTTCAACGCTCGAGACTGACCGGGGTCGCCAAAGCATTTTCCTTTAGCTTCGCTTGACAGCGATTGGCATCTATAATTCTCGGCGGTGTGGCAAAAAAGTCACGGAATGCGTTTGATTCGAACCCGTTTGAACGCGTTTTAGGAAACGTGAGCTAGCCCTTTCCATACGTTACGATCATATCGATTCGATCTTTCTCGTTTAAGTTGTTCGGACAATTAAAAATGCATATTCTTTGATTGTAGAGGGGAAAGTGAATAAAATCGAATAAATACATTCTTGAGATCAATATTACTTTCATTACTTACAAACTTCAATATGCTGCTGTACGTGTGTTCTTTTGTAAACTTTTTATGTTGCTTTCTTCTTGTTATCATAAATAATTATTATATTGTTGAAACGAAAATGATTTGTGATGAGGAAAGGCATTCAAAATTATAGGAAAATATGGTCGAAAATAAAAATAAAATAGGGCAGGTACGCACGATTAATGTTAGGTTAGCTGTAAATTGAAAAATGTTGCATAAATGCACATAAATGTTAGGTTAGCTATAAATCGTAATTTAAGCTATACATTCTTGCTTTAAGTGAGAAGTTGTTTATGATAAAAATTAAAAACATAGTTTTCATGGAATTAAAAAAATTAAAATTACTACTCAATATATTGCAAAGAAGTATTAGAATAATTTAGTTTGAAAAGTATCACACTAATTGCGAATGTAGTATATTGACCAGCTTTGAAAGAATTAGTTAATTATTTAATTTAGTGAAAAAATTTAATATTAAGATTTGTTACAATTAGTTGAGTGTATGCATGTTCGACAAATTTCTAACATCACTTTTTTCGAAAACGAAGCTAGCTTGTATGATGAAGGTACTAAAATAGGGTAACAAATTGTAAAGTTTGATAAAATATTGTAGCATTTAATACATTATATGAAAAACGAAAATAAATGATCATTTCATTAAATTAGAGCTGAAAAAATTTGTTTATAACTCTTAATAAAATTGCTTACACATATTCACGTTTAACGCATGTTTACACGTTGTTTTCTTTTTATTTGTAATAGATACACATACATGTAGAAACCGAACAAGGTTGAATAAAAGACGGAAAATCGCTAGGCGATTCAACGATGTGAGCAAGTTCGCAGCGAGAAATTTTACCAATGACAGCATACATTTTATTATCATTTTATGTACACGTGGTCATATTGTATGTATTTATCAAGACAATCGTCAGAGTAACTCAATAGAAAGAGACCACTGACGTATATAGTATCTAGTAGAGTCTCTTAAAAGTAATTATAAACCCATGGCACAGCCCGAATAGACACAAATACTATTAAAAGCTAATAAAATTTCCTTCATCTTTCATTATTCGCTTTTCCAAGAACAATCTTCCTAAATTTAATTAGCATTTTGATTTTCCAAGTTTCTCAGTACTGATACCAAACTTAACATGTCGAGGACGGGGTTATTTTCACAAATTGAACAGACATTTGTGAAGCATACCTTTCTAAAGAATTCCTCTTTTAAATATAGACCTTACATATTAACGTTTCAATCTCGAGTTAAAATGATTATTTTTAAGAGTAACTATCCATTTACCATCGTTTAAAATTTCGAGCTAAAGCAAGTGCTTTCATTTACCATCGTTTGCCATTTTTACTGTTTTCACACAGGAGAAACAAATACATATAACCTTACAATTCGTCTACATTGTGTCGACAACTTGAAAAACTTCCAAAAGAAATAATAAACAGAAAGCTAAGCAGTCTTTCCGATTTAAAAGACGCCAAGGGCACTTCTTGCACGTACGATTACGTCCTCTATTATAGCAAATTTGTCTGGATTGCTCTTTGCAACGGCAGTAAATTCTAACTACACTTTAAACGCAGAATCGTGCATTCTATCCATATCGTCGATCCTACCGAGGCACGAGCGTCAGGTACAGCTGCGATCTCTCGAAACATCGATAATGAAATCTCGATCGCGATCTTAATCTATTTTCTGAACCGCGGTGGCGGCGGCGGCATCAGGTTTGTCGGCGTTGGTGTCGGGCTGCTGCTGCATGATCTGCTCAGTGCTCTGTGAGGCTCGACACTCAAGAAACTCTTGTCGGTGGTTGGAGGCGCGGAGATGATTTCTGGTTCTGCAGGACTAGGACACCGTCGTTGCGTGCAGGTTGCTAAAGTACTTCTTGATAACGTTTGCAACGGTATCTGGTAGATCCTTATCGGTTTCCAGTCGCTCTGACTGTCTGTGAAAAGAAAAAAAGGAACGCTGAGAGTGTCTTAAAGACGAACATTTACGTCCTAATAAAACCTTGACTAAAGTTTTTATTTTTACAATACGGTTTTTAAATGTAAGGAAAATTCTGATCCATTTTGAAAAGATGACACGTACTGTGCAAGTTAGATCGGGAGGATGAGGAGGATTGCGCGAAAGGGGGCGGACTGGAAATCGGTTCCTCTTTGTCCAAAGGCTTCGAATCCAGTCGGATTCTTTCACATTTCCCCGGTAGAAACTCCGGAGCTGTCGTTGCGAAGAAGATGTCCTGCTTCGAGGTGATTAGATTCAGATTCGGCATGGCGATCGTGTGTACTAAATTTCCATTTATTATCAATCGTATCTCCATAGTGTCGTTAGTAAAGGCTATCACGTAGGGGAAGGCACAGGCTGAAAGGAAAGAAATAATATATAAATAATCACTATTGAGAAACACATGATGAAGTGAATGGTAAAATGTGTAGGTATACTTCCTGTACCTATTGCTGCTGGCACGGAATTCCAGTTGAAGTCGAATTCCGTTGGTGCGGTACTCTCTTCTATGAGCTTTTGAAAGTGGCATGTATCTGTGAAACACAAACGAATGTTCAAGTGTAATAACTTTATCCTAGGTAGAGAAAATTTTTCGTACTGTTATAACAAAGTAGTAGTTCAGGTTCCTCGTCCTCGCAGAGATCCAAAGCTGCTACTAGGTGTGGCTTTGGGGTTCCCTCGATATGGAGTATTCTGGTGCTTCCAGAGGCTGAGATGAGTTCGAAGTGGTGTCGAATACCGCAGCAAAGTGTCCACTCATTGTTTGAATCAGTGTTCTCAATAATGGTTACCAATGATGGAGTTTCGCTGGCATTGAACTCTTTCAAAAACAGAAAACCGTCAACGGTGTCTGTGTCTGCGGCGGAACACCATGCGGTCCAAGCAGCACTATGTTTCCATTGGAGAACCGTTAAACGACGTCCAACTGCCACACACTATATGTGGTTGTAGACAGATAGAGGAATATGTTAAATTAGAATCTCATGTAATAAACTAATCAGCAACATTCTCTTAATCTTTATATCTTAAGAATGATAAAAAATTTTAACGCAAAGCATAAGTGTACCATGCGCAGATGGGAACCACCAGGCATCGTAACGGTATACAAATGGCAACCCCGAGTTCTGGCTAGTCTTCTTTCCTTGATGTGTGCTCTTCCTCTAACAGCCAGGGGACGCATACGAATACGTGTGCGACGTATCACGGGTTTGAATTTCGCGTTGGCTCGTGTGAAATTATCGATATCGTTATCACTCTCGTCGATGTCATCATCCATGTCGTCCTCATCACCATTCTCTTCGTATTCCTGATCGTCTTCACGATCATTTAATACTTCCGTAGATCTATTGCTCGAATTGTTCTCGAATTCCCTTAGACGAAATATATAAACGTTGCTTTCCTTGCCTTTGTCACCAGTACGAAACAATAGTATTCCGTGTTGCTCGATTACGTCCAGCTGCTTGATCTGCACGGACTCGTCGAAGATTAATCTGTGCGACAAGCTGTCTGAAATTAGTTTGAACGAATATTCTTTTAATTTTCACAGTTTTCGGAATTTTTAGGTTTTTTTCCGTCATAGGTAACAGGATATACGTAGAGGTTGAATTTTCGGTTTACCTTCAACCAAGAAAGTCCCGTTTTCGCTGACAAGAATTAGCTTGTTGTCCAGCCAAACGTGTCCACAGATAATCTCGTGAGGGAAGTCCGGATAGATACACCTTGGTTCCCATGGCCTGGGCTTCAAGGGGCCAGCCGTGGCCAAGGAAGTGGGCGCCAGACCTCTGACGATGGCTTCCAGTTTCAGAGCCTGGCCCACGCGCACCATTTCCACAGCACGCGTCTCCTCGCGACGTCGACCTGGAGCCTCCACCACATCCGACAATGCTCGTCGGTTTAACATACTCTGCGAAAATTCCATTGGTTTTCCTTTCTACGAGGGGGGGGAGAGGGAACAGCCAATACATTATCGAATCCTACGCGTATGTTCTTTCTTTTTCTATAATCTTGGATTGCTTGTCACGTCTTCATGCAGGATTGGAAGTATTCGTTTTTCTATAGTATTTGTTTAATACACAACATTAAAAAATGGAAATTCTAATTTTTAAATTGTTTTAATTGAAGATAATAAAAGACTATACACTCGGTTGACTCGCAAATTTTTCCTCATTTTTCTAAAATTCCTGTTACAATTTGTATGGATACCTAAACATAAACTAAATCTGAGGATGTAGAAGAATGAAGGGACACAAAGAATGATTAAATAGCAAATTCTTTAAAGCATACATACATACATACATACGCACGTGCATGTATATGGAGCCATGGATGAACAAACTTACGTTGCTCTTACTGTCCTGTGAATGTTCTTGATACATATCCCGGAGGAGGGCATCCAGGGTTCTCTCTCTCTTCTGGGCAAACGTTGGAGTGTTGAACGTAGCCTTTTCACCGTTTATCAGCTTTACCAGAAGAAATTCTCGTAAGGCGTACGGATCTTCGAACACAGGTGGACAGGGAAGGCTTGGTCCAAATAGAGGAACGCTTTCGTCGCAATAAATGGCTACACGCCATCCTTTGCCATTTTCCTCAGTTGACACCACGGCAAATACATCTATACAAAAAAAATAATCAGTTTCATCGTGAATGAATAATTTTCGCAATAACCTTCCATTTTATCTTATTACGCGTAAATTGACTCCTGATGCAGTTTGGGTTGAAAGTGTCTATAGCGTTAGGATCATCGGTGTAAACGATGTTAACAATATCGTTGCCGATATGGCGTTTTCTCTCCAGCTGTTGCGGGTTGTCTTTCGAATAAGGAAGCATTGTGCTTACATGATACATCACTTCGTGTCCTGCGTATACCGTGTAATAACTTTCCTTCCCAGTCATATCGCCTGGAAACGGAAAAAAATGCTACGTACAAGCCGTCCCACGTGAAAACTCACAAGACTTGCGATAAATGTAAAATTTTAGCTTTCTATCTTTCAGTGAAGCATTAATAGTACCTTTTACGTCTAAGCCACCTCGATACTTGTCCCAGTTCTTCAGTTGTATCCTTTCGCCCAGAATTTCGAGGAACTTGTCAAAACCTGGACTACCCTTTTCTGCAAATGAGACACTATGTAAAAAATTCTTTTCGTTACTTTACAAATTTCTCCAGTTTAATAAAAAAGACTAAAGAAGCAAGGTATTTCGTTTTTGCTAACAAGTGGAAGCAATCGTTATTGTTAAAGTGTTAATTTAAGATTTGGCCTGTATGTTTGTTAAGCTTGAACTTTTAATCGATTTACCATTAGATAACATCTCGTCGTCGGTGGTTTGTCCATTTCTCGCGTATATCACACCGAACTTGAAGTTCACAGAACCTTCTTGTTCCTCCAGCAACAATAAGTCCTGCAATATGGATCTTTGACACAGGATTCTATTGTTTTTTTTAAATTTAAAACTTACTATATTAGAATGTATTTATATATCTTAGATTAAATGAATAGTGTATTGAATTTTTTTAAATTACTACAATTAGACATGTAAACCTCATTTCAGAAATTTCATTCTCTTCACCTACCTTTTGTATATCCGGGGAGAAAATTTCACGCGGAGCTTTGTCGAGTTTGTCCAGTCCAAAAAAGTTGCTAAAATTTGAATCATTGATCATCGATCACCTACACAGGCCATTCGATTTTTCGAGTATGTACGAGTGTAATGGAAAGATACTTACCTGAGAATCTGCCTGATTGTCATCGTTTTGTTCGCGGAGTACGGCAACGATATCTTCTGTGCACCCTAAATTTGTTCCTTTCTCATTTACTGTACTCTTTGATTTGCTTTTTTATCTTTTTTTAAATCAGCAGTAAAAAACTTCATAATTAATTTCAAGTATAATGTGATGATTTACGATAATTACTTCAATTTATACGTTTAATACGAAAAAGAAATTCACCTTGAAGAACTTATTCGGAAATTCCGAAAAAAAAGAAACTACAAAATTTCATGCAAATGTTTCCCAGTTAATTTACTCACGGTTTTCCTCCACAAAATTACTCTATAATGTGGTACACTTTGGTCACTGCCTTCGCTCGTCACAACCGACAAGAACAAAGGATTTCTCTCTAGATCTGCAGCTATGTAATTTTGATGCACTGCGAACACATTTTCAAGATATTCGTTTAATCCGCGAAAGAAATGTGCGAAACAGAAAAAGTATTGTCAAATTAGAATTCGTTTATTATATACAACAGATTCATTTTTGCGTATATTAATACGCGAAAAATAACCGATTACTTATTTGCACGACTAATGTAAAATAAAAAGATATTCAACGGAGGAGTGAATGGAGGAACAGCTGTTGACTCCTACTTACTCTTATCTAATGCATTCACTTATCTGAAATCCTTAAAAATACTGCCATGCACTCTACTCACGTTTTCCGAGAAAGTACTTGAAGTACCAACGCGTCTGATATTCGGGATTCTCCAATATCGGCGTACTCGGCGATCCGAACATCTGCACACACGTTCAAAATCAGTTCCATCGCTAGAAATGCAATCTAACTTTATCAATATACAAACAGAAAAATTGAACGGAAAGGAAAGATGTAGAGGAACAGTGGATGCAACCTTGTTTCTTCCATATTTTTTATCAACAAATGGTAGCATTTTTTTGAATCATTCTCCTTTCAACCGAAAAGTGATTGCAGGTAATCACGAGTTAACTCGTTTCCCTCGGTTATTTAACAGGTTGAAAGAAGGTTCATCTGTTTCTTAGTCTGTTTGCCAGTTCGAGTGAAAGAAAACGAAAGAAAAGAGGTGTCTAAGGTAAGGGAGAGGAAAAGAGGGGACGTGGCAGGAGGACATAATTACACGTTTCTTACTTCCTCTTTCTCGCCAGGGGAATCGCCGTTCTCCACTCGAAATCTTCTACCATTGTCAGAGCCGTCTTGCTCGATCTGCGGCAGCTAGAAGACGATTTCAAGGGGGCAAACATTAGCAACCGTGTGTGTACGTCGATAGAAAAAAAGAGGGAGAGGTGAGGGGATCGTGTTCCAGTTTCAGAACGTCATCGTTACGCACGGAAAGCCGGAAAAACGAACGCCATTTCGCGACCCTTCTCTCCTCTTCTACACTTCAACCCTTTCGCGCGGCTCTTCCGTAATTAACTTTTATTGTGCCGCGTCTCCTCTACCTTTATCCTCGTGAATTTGCACGATTTTTCGGAGGATAGTGTTTCTTTCTTTCCGATTTTTCGTGGATCACTGACAAATAGTCGTTACGTTACGAGATGTCTAATATAAACGCGCATATACATATAACGGTCTAATATTGGCCGGACGTGCTACAAAGTGAGAGCAACAGCCTTTAACTGACGAACTATAATGAAATATTGAAAATCTAGACAACGACTTTTGGTCATCGATCTGAGAGTATCGAAGTTTGCTCATTCCTATCGATAATTTCGAAACACAGGTCCGATTGAAAAATAGACGATTGTGAATGAAAAAGTAGGTATGTTTAACGAGATCGTAGGTTGAACAGCAAGAACTACCAAACATTTATGAATTACGGGAGCCCTGGGTCAGCCAAAACTGTCGTAAATTTTTGAATATCATTACCGAAACTTACCATTTCGACGCTGCCATAGTATCGCCTGGAGAGAACGCCACGCCTGGAAATGGCGTCCGTGGTGGAGCTGAAACATCGTGGACGATTAAAGATCGTTAGACAAACTGTTTCTTAAGTTTTATGCCGCGTCTCGTATTAACAAAGGCGGTCACAATAAAAATGAGAAAACACGCTCTTTTCACCGAGCTTCCTCCGATATTTCTTCTCTTTTTTCCTACCGAGCTATCTGGGTTAATGAAGGTAGCCCAGCGCAGAAAGGACCTAGATTGCATCAATTAACATGTTGCTCGACTAAATTCTTTTTTTCTTATCAGAGACACATGTTCGTAACTACTTTCGACTGAAGCTGTTCAAGCTTCTACAGCTAGTACAGTTGTCACGTTGTCGATTACAGCGTGCAATAATTCTTATTAATTTTCTTCTCTTCGATAACGTAACATTCGTGATTCGAAGCTTCGCAGGAAAATCTCTGCTCGTGACAAAATTCTTTTTAATGTATGAACAAGTACAGAGAAGCTTTGGAATGTCTATACATGAAATATTCCCTTTTTTCCTACGTTTCAAAACCAGAAGACATTGTTAAATAATCTCGAAGGAACGTACACATGATGACTAGCTCGTCGATGGAGATATCTCGAGTGAGCAGAGGACAAGGCGGATACGCAAACCGATCTGGACCTATTCCTGCGGATGATCTCGTGTGCTGCTGGCAGCGTTTCCTCGTCAGTGTCGCTCTCCGTCATCGAGCTCCCGTTTCCAGTCGAACTCTCTTTTCTTGTTCGTGGACGAGCCACTCATCAACGAGACTCCTCGTAAACGAGAGACTAGCTTTATGTCCAAGCACAACATCTTCGAGAAGAGAGTTTCTTCTTCTTCTTCTTCTCTTTCACTTTACTTTTTTCTCTTTCAAATTAAGATTCGTTGAGATTCGTTGATTCGTTTCTGTGCTAGTTCTTCAGTGGATGAAGCATAATTATTTGATACGACGACTCATGGACGATCAGGCTCGAGACAATTGTTCAATTGGAATTTGCGATGGTCGAGTTTCGAAAATGTCTGCCGGTCGAATGAGAAATTTCGTGTTTTCCTTCTAGGCGAATATTCTGTTGTTAAATATATAGAAAATATAACGATGAATTCATCTTTTTATGCCATTGAAATATTTAACTTTCGAGGGATTACGTTTGAACGATTTGAATGTGTCTGAAAAACAAAAATTACGAAATAGATTTAAAGTCGTGTAAGTATATACCAATGTTGCAATTAATTCCCGCGAGTAACCTTAAGATGATCCGCTTAAACAACACCTCCGTTACATAACGAAAGTTACGAAATATTGCTAATGATGTGCTAACATGTATCAAATGATTTCAAGATCCGTATTACACATTTGACGTAATTATTATTGTTACGATATCCACGTGTTCGCTCTCTAAGAATACAAGCATTCCGTTTGTTAAAGAACAAAAGCTTGAAACCAGTTACAAGTGGAAAAAGAGACGTTCGCTTTGAAGAGGCTCGTTTGTACTTACACGCAAATAGCGGAAACATGATCGACTGATTGCTATGCTATCTAAAGAGGTATATAATTTTCCGAGATCCACGTGGTCACTTGCACGTATATGACTCAGAGGTTAAGAATAAGTCGGGAAAAGAGCGAGTTTCAAAAGCCAGCTACAACCAACGATAAATCTCCGTCGTTCAACCCTTTTAAAGATCCTGCCTGTCGGACGCGAGGACATCGATATCATTGACCGAGTTTTCCCATTGCAGAGGTCCGTCACCCTTTCGAGGATCGTGGCTACATAATAGAGAGGAGAACATCGATGACACTGACCGAGTCGCTTTGTCGTCTTTTCCCATCTTTTTTTTTCATATTCTTTTCTTTTCACTTAACTTGTCTCGTCCTTTAAAGAAACAACTAACTTGCTCTATATCTTTTCGATTTATAACGTATTATCGGACAGAAAGGCAACTACGTCTGATTTACTTCTCGTCTGTATCATTTTTCCAATAATATTCCTCGTTCCTAGACGAAAGAAATTAAAACAGAAAATACAGCGGTCTTTATGCGCCACGACTGTGCTTTCTTTTATTGCTAGATTATCAAGTGAAATGAAAGAAGACAGACAACGTGAATGCCGAATCTCGATTCAATGGTTATTTAGAATTTCGTTACACTGACATTCCAATTAATAATAAATAATACGTAATAAGCGAGAGCGACCACTTACTTCGAAATTACAGCGATTCGTCGCAATTACGGGAGTGCAGTTACTCATTGAAAAGATCTTAACGACGTAAGATCTCTCGTTTCGTTCTATTTTTACGTGGGATATTAATTTTTCTCTTTGGTTTTATTAACAAATTTCTCTCTGATATATTGCATTGAAAAGAAAAGAAAGCAATAGCAATATTAGTTCTTTCCAATGTTACCATTTCTCTTTGAAAATGATAAAAGAAATGTGTCGATCTTTAAAAAAAAATATTGTTCGTAGAAAACTGTTCAAGGTTCTTTTCATGATAAAAATGTGAAATTTCCTTATAGCATTGGAAACGTTTCGAAGCGTCCTAGAGAGCGATCGTGAAGCAAATGAAATTTTTACCTACTATACGGCGCCCTTTTCGTCCCGTTATTACCATTATTTAAACGTCCAATGAGTCCGTACTTATCTCAAGTTATCAGGCAAGAAAGTGTCGACCAATTAAACCGGAAGTTTGTCCTGATCGTTCGTGAGCTATTGTCTCTCAAGAAATCGTACCCTCTTACAGCATCTTCCGTGCACACAGTCACCGAACAGCTTTATCGGCGCGTATCGCTCCGACGGGAGCACTTATTTTCACAGGCTCTGGCCGAGCGTCCATTCGAGTCGATCAGCGGCAATGAACGATTCATCCGAGTGTAATAGTTGCACACAGCCACTATTTTCGAGTCCAGTTCGAGTACGGACGACCTCGATCTCGACCGCCGATCAAACATACTTTGCTTCGACGTGAAAGAAACGACAAACAACAGAGACAAAAATATGACAGAAAAACAGAGTATTGTAACGCGCGACCACAATGACGTTGTTTCGTCGGTAAGTATGATATCGATGGTGGATCGATAGTAGATCGAGACGAATCGATCAACAATAGAGGCACGAACGTCAAGTAACCGATGAGTTCGCCACGGGTCTGCAACCCCTACTGGCAGAGGCAGGACACGACCCTTTTCGAATGAGGACGCATTGAGCAACGATGAGAGAGCAAGTACTCGTAGTAACACGGCGACTCGACGACTGGCGCCGCGTCGTCGAGCTCATTGGCTCTCTTTTCCGCCACCCCCTCTGAACCCGCTGACGCTTTGCTTCTCTTACGCTTTCTGTCTTACCGTGGTGGCTTCGCCTTTCCTACTTGCGACCGTCCATGGTCTCTTTCTTTCTTACCGGCTGGCGGCGTCCTGCCAGCTTCCCTCCCCCAAACTCTCACACACTCGCTCTTTCTCTCTGGCCCTCTCGTTCTTTTCGGATTCTGCGTTTTGGACATTGTTTGTACCGTTTTAGTGACGGCATCGTTGACGTTAATTCGTTCGTACAATTTTGTTTTTATTTTTCTCTTCCTTTGGTTCTTTTTTTCGCAATTGAATCGTGGAGATGCCAGCATTTCGTGATAATGACAAGAAATCTCCTGTCGCGAGAAAATGCCTACTCGCTTCTATTCGTAACTAAGGTAAGAAATTGTTTACGACTCGTTTCCGGGCTTTCCAAATCAGATGAATCTATTATCTCCAAGTTGTCGTTCTGATTATCCTATCGATCATTTTGTCGCGTGTCTTCGATAATATTGTTTTTGTAAATATACCTCGTTTTTCGGTTGTTCGTGAAAGATACGTATTTTTAATCATTCATAGCGATAATAGTAAAAGAACTAATAATACTGTATTAGTAATGTATTATATTGAATATTATTCTTGTATTTCCTAATACGTTTGAAACATACGTTTTTCCATCAAATTTGGACTAATGTTGTAAAACAACGCAGCATTCTATAATGTGATATAACAAAAGAGAATATTTTTACGTCTATTGACTTTACCATCTTTGATGCTTGGATTGAATATAATTCTTAAACTGACCGCTCTAAATCGTAGAGGGCATAACAAACCCTCTGGATTTTTGCACGATCGGTATTTCAGAATGTGAAACTATTCTATTCTATACATCATCTGTGGTTAAATATACGCAAGGCCTCAATGGTTATTTCTCTATTCAATGTTTCTCATAAAAGTTTCCTTATGTATCGACAAAGTCGATATGTAGGGTGAGGCGTCCAACTATACCACTTCGATAACTCAGTAATTAATGAATTTAACGAAAATTGGTTCAGACCAGTGTTGCATAATGGGAAACGTTAAAATAATCATTAAATAACTTTTAAAAATATTCTACCAATTAATGTACCAGAAATCTAACTGATGCTTTGAATATGTATCCTGAAAAAGACAACTAATATGAAAAAATCGAATAGTGTACTATGTATGTAGTCCCTTTCGAAGCATGCGAACCGTGCAACATTCATCCGAACCAATTTTTGCTAAAGTCATTACCAACGGAGTTATCGAAGTGATTACAGTTACGTGCATCATCCTATATATGCATATGTAACTGTGAATGCAGGCCATCGAGATGACGCAATTCTTGATTATTCGCGAGACAAAGTAATCGGAAACGGTCTAGTTCTCTCGCGTTTTTGCGCGTACGTGTATTCTATGTACACGTTTACACGTAAAACACGTATAGGAGCCACCTAAAACCCTTTTCCCCTTAATCCCGCCGTTCTGCATTTTACGTGTGTATCTCTCTATCCGGCCGCCGATTATTTCGAACCCTCTTTGGACCGTGTATTCGTGCTGTATTTCTCCGCTCTCAGGCTTTTCTCGATATTCCTGCGCATTGTCGTTCTTCTCGCGTCTCCCTATCTCTTTACGAACCACTACGGACTGTGTGTCGCTTTCTCTCTTCCTCTGTCCACAGAGTCGGGATGCAGTGCGGTCGACTTCCACTTGGTCGAGCGTGATCGAAATTGATCTACGCGGCACAAAAGAGTACCGACGGTCGGGACACTTCGGTCGGTCCGATAGCAAAAGAGTTAATTATAAAGAGGCGAGCGTCAAAATCCGATACGTTGTCGTAGTCGCTAAACGGCGTCGACCAATGAAGCCTTAGTACGCGCTTGCTTGATCGCGAACAGAACGCTGGCTGGTTTATCGGACGAACAGATCGATATGTAGCGGCAGATAGGTTAGGAGAGACGCTCGATTTCATATTAAAATAAAAAGCATAGAGTTCGCTTTTATTCCGGCCAGGATTATCCGTGAATCGGTGGATGCATAACGCTGATGCCGGTAAGTACACGTTTCATTGTGATTGTGAACAGTTTATACCGGTAGAGCTGTGAATAGAGTTCTCCTTTTTTACACGTGATGTTTACTAAAATCTGCCGGATGCGATTATACTTTTTCGCGAAATTTATCTGTTCAAGAATGAAATTTCGAACGTCGTGGTTTATTCTACTGTAGATGATTAATTTAGTTGTTAACTCTTAACATTGATAGTTTAATTTGTACGCTGTATTATTGGTACACGCACATATTGTTATTGTGTACATCTGTTACTTGAAATGGAAGAAGAGAATATAGGTTAGTTTAAAGCAAACGAGGTAAGCACTTGATTGATACTTTCAAAGGAAAGGATATTACATGATACTCGTTACGAAAAATTTATAAACAAAAATCTTTTTATTATTTGCACAGAACGAAAGAATGCACAATAACATACAAGAACAAAAGTTATCGAATTACGTAATCA